ATTCATTCATTCATTCATTCATTCATTCATTCATTCATTCATTTTCAAATGTATATATGCCACCCATCTCACTGTACAAGTGACTCTAGAATCAGCAAAGTAAGCAAACCTACTAGAAATAAAAATCTGTGAAATTTTGAATTAGAGCAATGTATTCTTTGCAGGTTCACCAAGGAACCAAACTGGAAGCACATGGTGTTCCCATGCAATCATAGCCTTCTTCTCCTACAGTATTTATTTAAAATGTTTGTTTAACATTACCCATTAAAAAAATCAATGCATTTTCAATAAAACAATGCAAATAGTCAATTAAAATGATAAAAGCATATATGAAAACACTGTTTCAAACTAAAACCAGCAGCTAAAGAAACAATTGTCTTCTAAGTGTCATATACTTCAGAGGTATTTAGAGCACATTAAAGACAGTTAAAATAGTTCTTTATTTCAAGAAGCATTACAATATTAATTCAGACATGAGATATTATAATGCACAGGAAAGTTGGTGAAGAACAACTTGGATAATAAACAAATTAGGCCACAATTAAGAGAGAGATGATGGCTATCTGTACCCTCTAGGGTATCCAAGGACATCAAAAGACTGTAATAACATCAACACAGATGATGCAATATAGCTGTGAATTAGAGGGTACCATGGCAATTTATACATGATCTATAATAGCTATCTAATGTATTCAAACATATGGCATAAGCCATAAGGTATTTTTCTACTGCACCACTGGAATCCTAAAAGCTTATTTAACACATATCCAAGCACATGTACATGCCAGTGGAATTTCTGAACTCCAGGAATGTTTAATTCCTGTCCTTACCTTTTGTACATCCTTAGAATTCAACTCTGCAAATATCTTGAAGTTTCAGAAAAACTTCGAAAGGAGTTTTTCCATGCATGGAATTAACAACACTGTGCTTCTCAACAGTTAATTTTCTGTGGACAATCAGCTAACTGTTCAGCAAACTATTCTGGCTGTGAATCATGCACATGATTCCACTTTGCAAAACTTATATTTGTAGATACTTTACACACACCAAAAAAGATGTAATAATGCCCACATATACATTAATAAAAGCTCAAAAAGCTCTAAGAAGTATGCATGATTAAAATGTGAATTTTCTAATTTCTTTTTGATTGGGCCATTTTCTTTTTCCTACCGATCACATACCTTTTGTTCTTTGTGTTTAAGTTGTTGTTGGAGTTTGAGATCAAATGCCTTGATCTGAATGCGCTGCTTTAGCACCTTCTCATCCAATAAAGTCTTGTAGCGTTCATATAAGATATTTCTTATCTTATAAAGATTCTTGTAGGTTTCAAGATGATGCTTGATTAAAAAAACAGGCAGCATTATAGCTGGAAATTTATGCAGGGAAAACAAATACTGTAAATATTCAATGTATACCAATACCGTGCAGAGGGTTTTCTTAAGATATTTCCTAAAGTTTTCTTTAGCAAATTCAGAGGCAGTTTTCTGAATTTCTAAACTAGATGCTATGAAATTCTTCTTTTAATAGATCCCTTTTTTATAAGAGCACTTCAGGTCCAGAGATATCATATTTCCCCAGCAAACTGTAACTTGTTATTGCAAAGGTATTTTTACTAGGACTGTGCACACTTTGAAAATGATTTGAAAAAGGTGTGTTAGACCTCCCATGAGCACAGCGCTTTCTTTAAACCAGCTCAACGCTTTTCAGGCTTCAGCATGAGCATGAAAGAAACGGATGCCACCCAACTCATCAGGTTCAACACAACCCTTACAACCTGACATCTTTTTTCAGGCCCCCCTAGAAACCAGAATGATACAGGTGCTGGACTTACACAGAGCCCAAGGGACTTCTTCCAAGACCTGTGCACAGCCCTAATCCTTACCCTCTTATGCTTTAGAGCGCTTGTCTGCACAGTGCAATTCAGCAGTGCCACCTAGCGTTCACTCTTTTGCTTACATTTTGACTAGCCCTGATGGGTAAACGCATCATTTCACAGCAATATAATCTGTGTCACACTCACTCTACACTATGGCAATATTTCCACTTAGCCCAGCTCACTCATAGTCAAGCTTCATGCTAAATGGACTGCAAAATCACCACATATACTGTATATTTCAAGCAGCATTATTTCATTGATATTTCAACAGATACAATGTTTTCCTTGTAAAATATGCTATTACAGATATGTGCATCCATTAAGTCTATAAGGCAACATCCAGTTTTCAAAAGGGACGATTCGGTAGGATTAACATTGTACTTCCAATACATAATATTCTTTAAAATGTTATATAATTCTTTCAAAAGTACACATTGCTTTCTAATTCCATCTTACTGATGCATCATCTTTCACTGTGCTAGTAAATTAAGTTACATATAACACAGTGAATTCGTGTGCATTGTGCTTAAGAACTGAAGATGAAAAAGATACACTTACGGTAATATTTTTGTACTGGAAATAACAAATGCCAAGTATTATGAAGATTCACCAACAGATGGTGCTAGTGAGTGCTTTAATGCTAAAAAAACCCCCAACAAACAGCCCAGGTCAAGGTGTACTACAGGCAGTCCTTGAGTTACAACAGCAATTGGGACTGGAATTTCCGTTGCTAAGTGATGCGGTTGTAAGGTGTGACATCATGTGACTGCATCGTTTACTGATGGCACTCCTGGTACTCCCCGTTGCCGTTGTTAACTAAATTCCACCAGTCATTAGCTGAGGACCCACCCCAAATCAAAGCCATTCCAGGCTTGGTCCCTTCCAGCCCCAAACCTCAGTTCTTCCAAGGTAAGGGACTGACTCCCCTTCAACTCCCCCCAACTGCCTATTCCCATCTCTGCCCTTTTGGCCACCCTGCACCCTGCCTTGCGGGATGGCAAGCAGCCCCAGAACTGTGCAGCTCTGGGGCTGCTTGCTACACTGTGGTTCAGAGGCTTCTTGGCATACCGCATCTCTGGGGCTGCAAGAAGCCCCTAAGCTGCAGTGCAGTGTGAAGCCGCAGATGCCCCTGGAAGCCTCAGCCACCCCAACAGTGGAGCACAAAACCACAACACCCAGGAAGCCCCAGCCACTCCAGCAGCATGGCCCCGGGAAGTCCCATCTTCCCTAGCCACAGTCACCCTCACCACCCTGCACTCTGAGGCCCCTGCTGCCCTGCGCTCTGCTGCTCCAGCTGATTTTCACCGTCTTCTTGCTCCCGCTGTTGACCAGGAACATCCTCCCTGGCCCTTCACGAGGCAGCTGCTGGCCACATGAGGCCATCTTCCCCAGGTCTTGTGAGGAAACCGCTATGTGCAACCTTGGGAAGAAAGCCTTATGCAGCCAGCAGCTGCCTCACGAAGGGCCAGGCTGGATATGCTTGGTCAGCATTGGGAGCAAGAAGACGGCAAAGGTCAGCTAGGGCAGCAGGGGCCACAGAGTGCAGGGGGCTAAAAAGGCATAGATAGGGGGGATAGGTGGGTTGGGGGGAGTTAAAATGCCTCTGTGGTCATAAGTGCAGGCAGGCTGCCAAGCATCCAAATTTTGATCACGTGATTGCAGGGGTGCTGCGACGGCTGTAACTTCAGGGACAGGTTGTAAGTCCCTTTGTTCAGCTGCCAACTTTGAATGATTGCTGAACGAATGGTCTTTAAGGGAGGACTACCTGTAATATAAAAGGTAAATTCTTTGAGTAAAACTTCACTATCACTAACTTCACAGACACATCCATACAAGTTTTCCTAGCAACACTATAAGCTTTGTCTCTTTATTTCTGAAATGAAGTCACTGCTTTTCAAAGCAATTCTGGAAGTCATGACCCTATTTTTAGCAATACTATTTTTACTATTTTATGGGGACTATGAAATGACTCCAGTACAAGAAGATTGAAGAAAAACTGTTAACATTTGTATTTCACAATCAAACATTTAAAATCTTGTAACTGAATTCTTTAGTTCCACCTTGGGTCCGTAACTCTAATCCTTATACATATATAAACAAAATGAGTAGGCAATATTTCTCCTAACTCTTCAGTAGGTAAAGCTGTTCCCACCTTTCCACATTGCAGCTTCTGTACACAAAGGCACCAGGAAGATCAATGCATAGCAGAGACTTGCTTAATTTTTCTTTTTTTGAAAACTAGCCTTCCTGCATTCCATCTTCCTTTTCCTACCCCACTGCATCCATTACATCAGTTACATTTCAAGTAGCCACAATGGTTGTTGGCCAGAAGCAGGTAAAGCTCATGGCTAATTTAAAACAGCATTTACTGAAACCACGTCTGGAGTTCTTTAGACATTTTCCAAGGCATGTAACACCAACTTATCAACAAGCAGATCCCATACAGTTGGGGAACATTTAAACATTGGAACTAGATGAAAAGTGATTGATCTTATACGCCTTCCAGGGAGAATTTTAAGGAAAAGCTGGGTGATTAGCCTTGTAAGATTGGATAGGGCATTAAAGCATTTTCTCAGCAATGTTCACCAGGCACCCCTGAAATATTAAGCACTACATTTTGACAACCTGATGCCCTCCAGATATGCTGGATTCCAATTCCCATCATCTCCAATCAGTGTACAGGAAAGCTACTCCGAAATTTGTGCCTAGCAAGCAGAATTTGAAAATTGGCCCTGGTCTAAGAAAAGCCTGAGATAACAATTTGTAACTATTTGTAGTATCAGCGACTCAGGGAAAATGCCAAAATCTACTTAGTGGAGAAAAATCATTCCTCCCATTGTCCAGGAAAGCAGACTACCTTTTCCAGTAGAGCTTGCTTGACGAGTTCATCCTTCTCTTCCTCGCTTAAAACTCGGCTGTTATTCCTTCTCTGCTCTTTATTGTTTCTTTCTGTTTTTTGCCAATTTGCTCTGTTCTGAGCCAAACAAAATAAAATCCCATAAGAATACTAAAGTATCATTATTTGTTGTTTTATAGATCCTCTTACTCTATGCATGCGTGCATGTCCAGTTGAATTTCTTAACTGGATGACACTAAATAAAGCAGAAAGGCCACGGCCATAATTAAATAGTGCCCATACAAATTGTAATGCAGGTAGTCTAATTCTGCTTGAGATATTGGGAAGCAGTGGTTGTAAAGGTCTTCATTTTTTCCTCCCAAAATCTATTGAATGGAATATAACCAAACACATGAACTATCTGGAGGATATTTGAATCAGCAAGGAGCCACTTGTGAATTTTAGTATATAACTCTAATGACCTGTCCAACACCATTTTTAAGGCACTGGGATCAAAGTAAAATGCCTTTTAAAAGGAACCATTAATTCTGGGGCAATTCCATTCCATCATGAAACTCTTCTAATGCACTTGACTAGTGAAACGGTTTGCTAAAATAGAGATTAAACTTAACATCACAAGTATATTTCTTCTCAGTATGTACAAAGATTATGCAATAAGGTATAGCCAGAAAACAAAGTGAGTACTTACAGCAAGCAAAAAGAAAATGCTATCAAGAGAAATTATTGTTTTATATTCTTCCAAATGTAACACTTTTTTCCATGTTTATAAAATGCTGCTCTTTGGATAAGAACCAACCTGCTTAAAAAGAACATTGCTCAAGCTGGCAAAAACTTCCCGCACATTGTGTGCAATTCTTTGCTACCAAGGACACCCTGCAAACATGCGTAATCCTGGCAATTCCCAGAAAAATCTACTTGTGGAAAGCCACCAAAAGACCAAGCAGCCTCAGACGCAACAAAAGCAACCAGGGTGTGTGTGTGTAGAAACATTTAGACAGCCAAGATGTTCACTTACTTCACTATAACAAATATACACTGCAGTTATAAAATGTCTGTAGTTCACTGTATCCAATCCTTATTAGGGAAGGGAACAGGCTGATGAACCCAAACCAGATATGCCAATATTTTTAACACAAGGACCCTACATCAAAAAGACAAACATTGCTGCTGCAGCTGAAATTGTATTTAAAAGTAGAATTGAATACTGCCAGGAGCAGGATTTTCCAGGGGGAAGAAGTAAAGCTGCAACATCTCAATCCATTCACTGAGTGTGCGTGCTTGGTTGCTTAGTGTCATTTTCCACGACAGATGTATTGTAGAACAGTCTAAAGAATGTGCTGCTTATTTTCTGGCTATGTCATGTTTTTCCCCAGACATCTGACCGCACAGTACCACATGGTCTGTTAGAAAAAGGGCCCCTGTATTTATCCAGAAAACACTGGAGGATATTCTCTTCTGAACAGATGTGGAACCTTTTTCAGTGGCGGACAGGAGAAATGGCTGTGCCTTGCCATGTTTGGAACTGATTTACATGTCGTGTTCTTTATCAGCTGTTTTTTCACTAGTTAATGTAACACAACTTCTGCATTTTTGCCCAAATTCTATACAAATGTTCTTTCAGAACGATACCATTGTTTTTGGAACTGCAGGTGCTGTCCTGGGTTTACATTTAATTTAAAAAGTTCTGATGGACCAGAAAATAACTGTTATCATTTCTGACAGTTCTGGGTACTGAATGAGCTGAACACTGTATGTACCAAGACAGAAAGACCAGACCTTGAGAAATACGCACATCATGCCTCAATGGACAAACCTGGGTATGGACAAAATGTTTCCACTTCTCAGTTAAGCCCTGAAATGCAAGGAAACTGTTCAGGTTCTACATTGGTGTAATATCGATAAAGGAAGGGCCTCCTCACACATTACACACTAGATCTGTATAAAGCATTCAGAAGGAGCCCATGTGTGCATGCAAACACTTCCACTAGAACGGCTACTGAAGCAAAGTGGCTGTGTGTCAGCCCAACAAGGCAGGCAAGACTAAGAAACAAATGCTATATAGGTCAGAACACCTGTAGTAACAGAATCTCGCAAGTTTGAATGTGCTTCTCTCTCCCTCACTTTATCTTCATGTGAATTAGGGAGGGGTCTGTCTGAAACATTTCCTCAAGTTATTTTCTTGGCCTGGGCTCAAACCCACTTATCTGATCATTGCCTTAGTAGCAGCTCTTCCTCCTGTCCTTCAAGGCCATTCCCAATACCTCTATCCTATGCATGCATACACTTGCACAGACAACCAGGGGCAGTTTTCGAAACAGCTGCACAAACTTTCCAAATTACGTGGCTGCTTTAAACTTCAAGGAGAGGTACTTTCTAATGTGTTTTGCAAAGAATCTCTTGCAAATGCTTTGCCATATCCGTAATATACACCTTGTCCTTATATTCTTAAACTCTTCCATCGTGCTCTTTCCTCTACTTAATTCCTTTCATTCCATGAAGATGCCTGAAGAGAGTTTGAACCTATGTCCAAAGCCTATTCAGATTTTGTGAGTGAACATTAAGTCAAGAAGAAAAAGGAGTGGGGTAGAAGGACGTCAGACACATATCATTATCCTCTTAACCATTTTAACCCTAGAATATATAAAGAAGGCTGTTCTTTCATAGAGGCCTCAAATCTCAACACACAATGATCATAATTCAAGAACCAAGTAATAAAATTAATATTTTTTTAAAAATGGAATTAGTTATTTGCAAAGGTTTTACAAATTGTAATATTTTGCAGTTCAAGATGGCTTTATGTAGAAACTGCACGTTGCTATATTAATATCTGTAAGCTCCCCAAATAGGTACAGAAGAATTCATATCTAACAATTTGTGGAGTTGGATGACAGGTCCCAATTACTGCTACCACACTCATATATCTGCTTTATCTTTAATATTCATAAAAAAGGACCTAAATGCATCCTTCCTCCACACTTTGCAATGAATGGCTATATTTACCACCTTGTTACTATGGGGATATTATATATGACATATGCTGACATCTTGGTATTTTCATCTTCCCACTTTGTACTCCTAACAAATCCTTTTTTGCTTCGAAGATGACCTGCCATTAAAAGGCATTTATTAATTACTTCAAGGCTCTCACTAAGGATCTCTTTCCCCATGCATATTAAAACTTTCCATAGATTATTTGAATTATTCTGAGAAGCCAGGAAAGGTATACTGATATCATTAGCTTTAAGGCTGATTGATACCATTAATTTTTAATGGCAAAAATAAAAATAATTATAAAAATACATAGGCTTCTACTCTCAACAACAATCATAATACCAAAATAGCATCATATACCTTTATGGTACAAAGAAACTTTCTTCATCCTTTTGTAATTCCCAGCATCAGCAATGCTGCATGGGAATTATGCAAGCTGAACTCTGACACATCTAAAGGGCAGTCTAGAATACAGATACTTTCTTGTTACACCACCAAATTTCTCCACACAGATGAATCTTATACTACAGGTCAGAAGTTCTCTTTCCCCATCCTATGATTTCCCAAGCTTCTTGTAGTACTAAAAATAATGTCTGTTTTGCTTATTTAATCTTACTGCATACTTAATGCATAATGTATAAGAAGTGCTTCCAGCTGAGCCTTTTACATAGCAACCGCCCCACTTAAATCACAGAATTTTACTGAGGACCCAAATGTTATTATCCTACTACTAAAGCTTCAGTTCCCTGCCCCCTGTAATGGTATGTGGGAATGACCTTGGGAAACAGGAGGGAGAGCTGCAGACTGGACAACTGGCATGTAAAAGATATTTCAGTCCACAGAAGGAGAGGGGCCGTGGGAAGCATTTCAGAAGGGGCCCTCCCTAGTTTTCTGGAAAATAAAAGGAAAGGAGGCGAGAAATACCTTCAGTCTTGCAAAATTCTGTTAATGTAAGCTTACAATAAAGATAGAGCTAGGACTCCTGGTTGTGCTTCTTGTCTGGGCTACCTCACAGGGCTAATATTCCCTTCCCAACATGGTTTCATCTGTTTCTTCTTATTATTACGAAAATCCAGCGAGAAACAGAACAAGCTTCTTGTTCATGCAGATACATGTGACTGAAGTGCAGTGGGAAGGGTTGTCCCTAGGAAAAGGAAATTACATTTGGAGTCTGCCCTTCCCGAAGCAAGAGTTTCAGAAAAAAATGTCAAGCAGGCAAGTTTTTCCTTTGCAATGTGAAGTCAAATAAATTGCTACTTCTCTCTACATTTTCAAACCATGGTGCATATTTCTCTGGCTATTTGGAAAAAGAAAGTGAGTACTAGCTATAAAGAAGCCCCTGTAAAACTGCCAAACTGGTGAACCTCTGTTGCATTTAAATGCCGATTGCTAGTGCGATGGTCAAAAGATAGCTTGCTGACAATTTTACAACCAGGCGCTTTTCCCAGTAGCTGTAACCATGGGTGCGTGTTGCTGTGGTGGCTGAAGGCATGAGAGGGGACACGCATTTTCTAAACAACGCCAACAGCCAGATCCCGTGAGCAGGGGGCTGAAGATATGTGTATGGGGGTGGGGGACAGATGATCCTACCGTAACAAAAAATACAATTTCCCATTACCCCCACAAAAGAGGAAGAAAATACATTCCTAGCCCCCTCTTCTCCCCATCATCCACAAAGCAATTAAAAACAAAAGCAGCCAAGCAAAAAAGGGGAAAACAGAAGAATTCTTGTTGATTTTACCTGACGTCTCTTTGCCTGGGTTACTGGGGGGGCAGGGGGAGTAATTGCAAGACCTGCACTCTTCTCTGCAAGAGTCAAAATTATGCTGATTAATCCTGACTGCCTTTTAAAGGTTCTTATGTATTTACCTAGTAATATTCAAGGAATAAAAACCAGAGTGGTTGCTGAAGAGGGGGACCTGCGAAACCATCAAGCTGCTTTTCCCCTTTAAGGACCTGCAGTGATCCCCAATGGCCAGGAGGCATGGCGAAGCAAGAGTTTCTATTCATGGGAAAACAGACTGCCCACAAGCTCTGCAGAACTTAACAGTTACAAATGGAAAAATCTTGCTTTCTGCAATTTTGCCTACATTAAAGCTGAGCCAAAAATGAAGCTCGGCTGTTAATCACAGACAACAGGGAACGCCCAGTCCCAGAACTGATTCTGTACTTGTGGAAATACCCTAAGTTTACTAGAAAGTGAAGCTGCTTCAAGATACATCAACAGAAGAGAAGGGAGTATATGTTAACCATGAGGATTGTGGAAATGGGAAAACCAAACTGGTTACTTGGTGGGTACATCAGCACATCACACTAATCTTAGATGAAATAACAAAGTTGTAAAGGGAAATTTAAGGTTATCAAGTCCAACCTTCTGCTCAGTGCAGGAACCCAGTTAAATTCCTGCTTGAGTCTATATTGTGAAGAGGAACCAACAATCTCTCTAGGTCATTGATTTCATTGTTGATCTGTTTCACTGTTAGGAAGCAATTTCTAACATTCAATCAGAATTTGCCTTCCCAATGTTTACATTTATTATTCCATATCCTGCACTCTGGAATGGTAAAGAACATATTTTCTTCTGTGGGACATCTTTTCAGGTACACAGTATTCATGTTAATATTAATGTTGGTTAGCTTTCTGTGGCTTAACATGTCCTGTGACTCTAGTCTGTTGAGATTAATTTACGAGTTAGTGCATCATGCAAATCCAGAACACTGGCTGAGGAATCACAATTAAGCTGGTTGAGGGGAAGTGTGTCCTGAGGCAGCATAGTTCTGACCACTCAGTGGACAGAACATAGCAACAGTGCAAAACCAAACAGTGCTGTCAATCATTTGCCATTCTAAATGTAGCTTATAGCTGAAAAATGAGCACCTTTCAGCATTTAGGGCCCTTCCATATGGCAGACTTAGATCTCGTTCAGGGAGGAGCAGTGAGTTTCACTCAACCTAGCGGTTCATGTTTTTTAGAACCGCTAATTTGGTTCCTGCACCATGTTGCTCCCCTAACACCTCTGACTCAGTGAAGAGGGCTTTGAGTTAAGTGTGACTTGACTCCTGGTGACTATACGAGCCTATCCATGCATTGTTCTGGTTGTGCACCGCACAAGGGTGCCACATCTGAGGGGGCTCCAGCAAAATGCAGGGAGTCAGCAACACTTCCCTTCCTCATCAAAACAAAAGGCAAGTGATCTGGTGGTGCATGAGTGGCTTGGCAAACAGCCATGGCAGCTTGCCCCCAAGATGATTCCTGGCTCACAGGGCACAACAGCAGCTGTAGTGGCACACGCATGCACTCCCCACTTCCTCCATTACAAGGGCACCTTTTTCTAATTTGCCCAAAGTCACCATATGTGCTAGCAACAGCCCTGAGTATTTTTGGCAGCAACCAGTCTATCCTATAGTCTTGGAATCCCCTGGTGGTCTCCCATCCAATTAATAAGCAGTACATGGATGAAAGAACTAGAAGCTTAGCTTCCAAGCCCACCAAGCACTGCTGCCTCCTAAGACATTCAGACTGTTACTTTTCACAATATTTCTCCTTCCATCAGGGCCACTGATTCTAGTGAGGTTTGGAGACAGCAAATTCACTCTAAAATTTACAGGAAGACATCAGCTAGAGGATTAACTTAAGTACTGTTTCTGACAATTGCTTGTTTGACTGATAACTAGGTCATGAACTTTACGATGCAAATTCACAGTGGAAAAGAAGATTATTTGTAGGGCTTTTGCCAAAACTAAGATACACATTGTATGGAATTTTACTAAAAGGGGAAAAAGAATCCAAAGTTATTCTAGAGTTGAAATTCAGTTGCTATAATGGTCACACTGCAAAACCTGCATTACCTGATTCTGGCAATTAAGAGGTAAATAAGAGTCCAAAAGTGAAGGAAAGGTACTCTTCTTGTAAAGCTGAAAGGAGCCTGCCATATTACACTGATGTTTCTCTCGAGACCTGTTGGGAAAAGAACCTGCAAAGAAATGTAAACATTATGGAGAATACAATATTACCACATAAGCTAAGATTACAACACTGCTGACCTCTTAAATCAACATTACGCATTTGTCTAAATGCTTTGTTCTTGACTAACACATTGTTCACCTAAGCAACGTATTACCTGAGCAACTCAACCCTCTGAGTTCTACACAAGCACCAGCTTGGATTAAACAAGAGGAAGGCTGTATTGCTAGATTTTATTGAATAATAATGATTCATTATATACATGATATCAACCCCGTTTACATAATTATATTTTCCATATGATAAATATTTAATTTTCTTTAGGCTGCAGTGTTTGCTGTAGGCCTCTTCCACCAAAGAAGAGTTTTTAAAAACCCAGGTCCAGCTGAAGTATTATTAGACAATGGACAATTGTTTATTTTTCTAAGCCTGGACCAGTTAGCTTGGTTCATGTATTGTGCTAAGTCGTAGTTTATTTGACTAGGGTTCCATGAAGAAATCCAACTGGATAGGATTACATACTGCATTAAGGCATAATCATAACTGTACCATAATCTGAGTTGGGTAACTATTAGATAGCGTTACAGAAAATGCCAATGAGTTTTTCCAGTGCAGAAATAATATTTACAAGACATAGTCGCTGCATGCTATGACAAGCTACACAAAGCAAACCAAAGTATGCCTTAGTTTGTAAGGAGAACTTGCCCTCTGTGTACCAGCTACTTTGTTTAGACTTTTGCATCATACAGTTACTAACATTTGCTGAAGTCCTTAAATCTGAGATATTTCCAAATTGTATTTCACCACTCAAATTTGCCACCTCCTTCTTCCCTTTTCCCAAACAGTTCCACATTCTGCACCTTCAGGTTATCTATTAACTTACAATATAAAACACTTATACAATATAGAAAACTTAACTGATTTCATTTTTAGAAGTTCGCTGAGCGAGTACTTTCTGTTTTGTGTAACTACCTTGGTTATTTCTCTTATTAAACTGCTGGCTTTCAAAAAAGGTTCAAGTTGGGTTCAATCAGTAGTTCAGGAGGAATGGATTCACACACCACAATAAGCCAAAATACAATTTATTTGATTGTGTCTGAGCATACTGTGCAACTAGCCAATTGTGGCTTATGCAGCAAGCTACTGTTGAGGCAAAACACGACGACTTAGTGTGATGTGTAAACCCAATCTATATCTCACAGTGGGATAGATAAAGGGCCTTTGATTTCTTTGATTTAAAAGTATGAATTGTATTTTCAATACTTGGTGGTCATCTATGCATATTCACTCGCTCACCCTTACCCTTTTTTCCAAAATATAAGAGATTTTAGTGACTCATATGAGATATTCAATGGAAGGAAAGGAAAAATCAATGGCATGTAACATGGGGCTTGGCATAGCTCCACTGAGAGAGTTTGACATTTTGCCAAGGGCTCCCCAGTAGATGGAATCCAACGTAGAGGTCTGCATAGATGCTCACAGGGCTCAGCCCTTCTGGCGTAGCTTCTCCAAACATGGATGTAGCACAAGTGAGCAGATAGGGACCCTCTGAGTCTTTGGTGTACTAGACAATAGGACAGCAGCAAAAGCATGCCATTACTCAAGGTTCTGCTTGTAGCAGCTGGAGGAGAGGAGATGGAAGGGCCTCCATCCATGCAGACCATCTAGGTAAGCAGAACCAGCAGTCCCACCCAGGTTCAGCACTGACTTAAGGGCACTAAAAATAACATCTGACACATTACTAAGACATGGTAACTATGGCTGATTAAATGTGCTACAGCTATCTGCAATTGCACAACACCCTAAAATAAACACCCACGTGGTTTATTTAATAACAGTGCAGAGCAGCATGCCCTTGAACTTCTTTCAAGGTTTTGAGGTTTCAGTGAGGCTTCTGTTCTGAGGAATTCAAGATAGGTCAAGTTTGAAATGAAAGAGTAGACAGTCCAGGAACAAAAGATAGTAACCATGATGAATAGGCCCAAAACAGTGCAACGTTCATAGAATGTTACCTTGATATCTTGAGATATTTCTGAAGGCCAAAGGGATCTCTTGGGTCACAGTGAACCATTGTTTTTTTTTTTAATTGGTGAGATACAACAAACAACAAAAAAATACATTAATGACTGTCCAATAAAAAAGAATGACATATATTATTACAGTGATCAAATTAAGCTGAACATAAAAGAAGAAACTAATAAATAAATTTAAAAAAACACCGTGTAGGATAATATAAGATTAATCCAATCTTCAAACTTTTTATTAAATTTAGACTATATAGAAATATAGTGCTCCATCCTCTCATTTTTAGCCTATAGAGTTCAAAAATGGATAACAAACACATATCTTGAATTCATCCCTTAACATCAGGTGTATATGTTTCTTTCTATTTACACAAAATTATTATCTCTGCTGAGCCCCAGGACCCGTAAGGCCAAAGCTCTGTGAACTGTTACACACAGGTGCTCCTGATCAAAGCAGAGTTGATGCCTCAGTCCCTGATAAGGCCAGGAGAGCATTTCTCAGGCCACCTCCCACTGATGGAGCTTACTTCAGTGAACCCCTGAGTTCAGATAAAAAGGGCTCAATAATTTTCAGTGGGCCATGCCAGCCACCTGGTCCCTTTCCAAAGGAATAAGAGACTTTAAAAATCTTATATAGCCCTAAACAAACCCAATGTCTAAGCCCAAGGAGAATGCCTTGTAACTCACGAAGCCTCAGATGCCAACCTCCAGGGCTTCATGATTCTTGAACAGTGGTGCTCCCAGAACACACTGACGAAATCTAGAAGAGGCTGTCCAAAGAGAAGAAAGGAATTTTAAAAAGTCAAGTGTCCTTCTGAAAGTCAAAGTCCTTCTGACCTTGACTATCTGTACCCACCCCTTGAGAGTATGGGATGAACTCAGGTGTACCATGTGGAATCCTCCCTGCTATTCGCCTCCTTGCATAATATGACCCTGGACTGGACAAGCAGTTGCATATGAAGGATGAAATATCATATCCAAGTCCTTTGTCACAAAAAAGTGGATCAGCATGCCCTGAGCTTCCTTGTTAGCTACCTTTGGAATCCAGGCTTGATAAATGTCTGATTGTCTGATTGGACTGAGAATTTGGTACCCTGTGCTCTCTCTGTATAAGCTTTCGCCTCCACCTTTCTCACCTAATGACTACACTCAAATGTTGGGTTACATAAAAAAGCAGTTTTGGAGTTCCCATTAGTATGAACCTAGTGGTGGCTTACTGACAACAGTAGTTAGAACTCATCATTACTTGGTACAATGTGTGAACCCAGCCAGGGCATTTACAACAGACAGATCTTATAACTTGGCCCTGGGCTGAAGCCACCTATCATTTTTATGTTCTAAGAAAGCTAATGAAGCCCAGAGGCATTCTTGAATATAACAGCACTGCTGAGCTGCATCATGCCACCTTCCCACACTTTTTTAAAAAATTAAAAAGTATTGTTCAGTGTTAAAAGTCAGGTGAGGCAGAGAGCCCAGTGGACAACAACAGAGGTATCCAGAGGCACATTTGTTCACACTGAGAACCTGATATTTCAAAAGGGAAGCTTCTGCACATACTTAGGGCTTCTCTCACAGCAGGGCTAAGCCAAAATGTGTGCTTCACCCACCTACAGCCAGGGAGGCTGCAAATCCTGGTCTAGCGTGTTTTGTGAACCCCACAGCTACTGTTTCTTAAACTGACCGGACATGAGTATGCTGGATGATCAGTGACTTTTCTTCCCCGCTTTCTCCCCGAAAAAGTAAACCACGGCCGGGGTCTGCCGGCTGCAAGCACGCGCGCTCCCAGCGAGCCCCGCGGCCCGCCCGCCTGCTAAGAACAGACCCCTCATTCCCTCGGCGGGGGGAGGGGGGGGGCTCGGTCCGGCTTACCGCGCGCAGCGGAGCAAGGCGTCCTACGGCGCCCGGGCGAAAGCGCGTTTGCTTCGGTTTTGAGAGCTGCAGGGGCGGGTCCGCTTTGGGTGCCACCCTCGTCGCCTTCCCACCCGCGGTCCAGCGAAGCGGGCGGCGACCCTTCCTGTGGCTTTTACGGGCCGGAGGCGCTGTTTTTGCTGTTTCTTCCCAATAAAAGAGGAGCTGGAAATACGGTGCGAGAAAAGCAAGCAATGGCGGGAATGGCTGTTCAAACGCACAGGGGTTCTTAAGAAAGGTCTCACAGGGGGATTAGTATGTATGTATATATGTATATACTAATATATCTTTTCTCTAGACATCACCGTGTCCTCTCTTATTCTAAAAGCAGAAACAGCGGTTCATCCATGGCATTATTGATTTTATTATTTTAGAATTTAATCCTCCTTGTTCCAATGTGCAAGAATTGGGCATTCATTGTATTAATTTCACCGATATCTAAAATGCATAAATTTGCTTATCCTAAATAGACTTGAAGAAAGGTTTTGGTTTCTGCAACTTCTTGTTGGTTAAATCTAAATGATCTCATTCCAATCTCATAAATAGGTAAGATTAAAGTATGCATATTCCATAAAGTTGAGCTGTATGCTCTGCCAGAAAGATAGTTTAGCATCAAGGATTTAATGTCTCCTTCATTTTAGATGTATTTATTTGGGAGTAAATGTCAATATTGCTAGTAAGACTAGCAATAAATAAGTAAGTAGTAAGTAAGACTACTCAGCTGCATAAAAATATGCAAGCAGCTTTAGGAATTTTGTTCCAGTGGTTACTTCTGTTCTTTCCATACACAAGTGATATAGAAGAGGAGTAAATCACATAAAGATAACCTAGTTATTTTTATTTTACTTCATGCAAATAACTAGATACTTCCATGGAGACACCCCCCCCCCACCTCAAAAATCCTGCTGGGCTGCCTCATCTGCAGTGCTCCTGGGAGGGATGAGCAAAGCATGTTGGGAGCGTATGCCAAGAGTATATATTCCCAGCAGGGTCACCCAATATGTGAAGGTCATCCCAGCTGCCCAGCTAAAGCAAGCAGGCACCTCTATTGGGCAGCAGCAATATAGGAAGATGCCAGAGTCAGATGATCACTTTAGTGACAATGGCAAAGCCATCAATTCATATTGCATGGGAGAAGGCAGTGGTAAACCACTCCTGTATTTTTACCAAGAAAACCACATGGATAGAAAATATAAAATGATTGTGCTGGATGATGGGCCCCTTATCGGATGGTACTCAACGTGCTACTGAGGAAAAACTGAGGATCTTTTGGAATAATAATGGTGTTTATGACGTGGCTAGATTAAAGCCTTCAGGATGTCTAGCTGCTGATGTTGCCGTACAGGAAAAGAAAATTCAAAGCTGCAAAGATAGAATTACACTAGGAACGTAAGAAGCATAAACACAGGAAAGCTCAACCCAGTGAAAGATGAAATGAAACAACTACAAATTGACATCTTAGGCATCAGTGAATTGAGATGGATTGGGATGGGACAGAAGATCCCACTGTTTATTACTCAGGACGTGAAAAAACAAAGAAGAAGCTCTGTTGTTTTTATGGTTAGGAAGGGTATAGGAAGAACAGTACTTGGCTACAATGCAATCAGTGACTAAATAATATCAATTAGACTTTGTGGACACCCTTTTAATATGACGATCATTCAAGTTTATGCTCCAACCACCAATGCAGAAGAAAAGGAGGTTGATAAGTTTTATATCAAGTTCAGTTTGAAATCAACAGAACATGCAAGCAAGATGTGCTGCTTGTGATTGGAGATTGGAATGCCAAAGTTAGAAACATGAAACAAGAAAATGTATTTGGACTGTATGGCTTAGGAAACTGAAATGAAGTAGGAGGCTGACTTGTAAATTTCTGCTGCTCCAATGATTTCTTCATAGCTAACACTGTCTTCAAACAACCAAAACGATACTTTTATACATGGACATCATCAGATGGAGTATATAGACATCAAATTGACTATATTATTGCTAAAAGGAGGTGGAAGAGCTCAATAATAGCATCAAAGACATGACCAGGTGCTGACTGTGGAACAGATTGTGATAAGCCTTACAATTGACAATTAAGATATCGAAGCGGTGGATATTTTCTGCCTTTTAGGATCAACCATCAACAGTAAAGGAACAAGGAGTGAAGAAATACTCCACAGACTAGTACTCGGTAGAGCAGTCATGAAGGCCTTGGAAATGATATTCAAATGCCATGATGTGTCTATGCTACAAAGGTCAGAATCATGCAAGCCATGGTATTCCCTGTGACACTCTATGGAAGAATGGACTTTAAAGAAGCAGGATAGGAAGAGTATTGATGCTTTTCAACTTGTTGGAGAAGACTCTTGAGAATACCATGGACAACCAAGGAAACAAACTGATGGGTCATCAAACAAATGAACCCAGAGTTCTCACTCAAGGCACAAATGACCGGGCTCAAATTATCCTACTTTGGACACATTTGTGAAGACCCAGCTCTCTGGAAAGGGCC